TCTCTTACCTGCTGGTTCATATGTTTTCAGTGCAGAGGGAATGGAGTCCCAGTATTTATACTTGGGCAAACCCATGGAGAGAAGCACTCCAAGAAGCTGTAGGTCTGTCCTTCCTTTTCTCCTCCCTTCCCTTTGTAGACTTACATTTAGGTAAGTCTAAGACTCTTCCTACTACTATTCCTGATACTGGTCCCTCAAATCATTGCTTTTCTAGTTTTTTTATGTACATATATACATCACCCATAGAAAATAAGAGTTTTGTGGTTTTGTAAGAAAATGAATATAGCATTTTGCAAATTAATTCAACATTATGTCTTGTCTTATATCCAGGTACATAAGGATTACTTTATTTTGATTTGTTATATCATATTTTATAACTGGTTAATTATGTAAATTATTTAGCCACCCACTATTTTTAATTTTTATCTTCACCCAGGGATATTTTTTCATTGATTTTTCAGAGAGAGGGAAAGACAGAGAGAAATATCAATGTGAGAAAAACACATGGATTAGTTGCCTCCTGCAGGAGCCCCAACCAGGGCCTGGGTTGGGAAGCCTGCAACTTCCTGTCAAGTGAGGTATGTGCCCTTGATAGGAATCAAACCCAGGACCCTTCAGTCTGCAGGCCTACACTCTATCCACTGAGCCAGTCCGGCTAGGGCAAGTCACCCACTATTGATGGATACTTAGAATGTTTTCAGTATTATAAACAGTGCTGCAATAAATACTTTTGTGCATGCCTTCTAGACACATGTGCTAGTGTGTGAAAGAGAGAAATGGATTTGCTAGGCATTTGACTTCAGAGTAGTTTTATCATTTTATATCAGCAATATATGAAAGTCCCGTTAACCCAGAGCCCCACATCACTTGATATTATCAAAATCAAAACTTTTTTCAGTATAATGGATGAGACATGTTAAGTAATTTGAGCTTTTAAAAACATCTTTTCACATGTTTATTAGCCATTTGACATTTCTATAATGTTCATACCCTTTGTTGGGATTTCTTTTGGGCTCATTTGTCTTTTTCTTATAGGAATCCCTTATGTATTTTCTTGTGTACTCTTGGTGCCAAGTTCTTCGGTTGTATTTTTAATCTTTCTCATTTGGATCTTTCTGATCCTGGTTTTGTTGTTTCCTAGCACTATAATTTTGGGAACATCGTTTGACTTCCACAGAACTATTTCCCCCATTATGAAGTGAGAATACACTAGGAAGTAGTGTTACCGTGAAATGCCAATGAAGGAGTGTGTGCAATTTGGGGGGTCCTGCAGGCATTTATTATTTCCACCAGCCATTTTCTCAAATATTAAGTGAGAATATACTACTTTTTAGGTTTAGTGTGAAATACCAATAGAAAATCATATGAAAGTGCTTTGGAGAGTAAAGAATAAGGTATTTTTGTTTTTTCTTGGTGTTATGACTCATCCCTAGGAGCTGGCCTTTGTGAAGCAGCCCACATCTCTACAGATTGATCAAACTCGAGGGGTAGGGTGGGTATCACAACATAGCACTTGTCTCTTTTTATTCCACACTCTTGTAAGGGAGGAAGGAGGTGCACTCACATTGAATTCCATGTTCTTGGAATGCATTGTGTGGGATGGAGGTGAAGAAGAGCAGTATCAGGAGAATTTGACTTCTTTGCCTCTCACAGTGCCTGCCCCAAGAATTGACATAGTAGAATCTGCCCATTTATGGAACCAAATGTCTACAAGGTTAGAATTATCTTGCCTTTTGTTACTATTCTGGTCTTCTCAGCTTGAACACAGGTTTCAGAGGCAGCTGTTCTATTCTACCAGGGAAGGGAAGTATGAGGATACAAGCCCCTGTTCCCATTCCCTTTTGTCTGGTGACTATCCTTTGCAAACAAACAATTAACTAAAACATGATACCACCCTGGGGCACTCATACTCAAAAAACACCTTAGACCTAGACAACCCTCTGCCCCTGCCCTATGCCTCATGCTTTAGAAGACCCTTCTTTGGCCATATTCATCACCTTCTAGACCACTCTCCAAATACCAAGGATCTAGGAATTACCTGATGAATTGTATTGAGCTGCTTCCAGGACCTGCAGAGCCTCTTTCTAAATTCATCCTCCCGAAGATGGATCAAGCCATTAGACCCCGTCCCTGATATGTGCTTTCCAAGGTCAGGGTGGTCAAGGGCAACTACTTGAGAGGGATATTCCCAGAACTTAAGTGTACTAGTTTGAATGTGTTTAGGCTTTGTAAGGAAAGGGCTTCAGGAAAGGACTGGGGTGTGGAAAGAGAAGGATGGTGGATTGGGGGACCAGGGTCCTCCATTTGTACTCTAGTCCAGCCCTGCAGTTTTCAGGAAGAGGTCTGCCCAGAGGAGCCTCTTTCTTCTGACCAACTGCTTATGTTACGGGTTAAAAAATGCCACAGGGGAAGGTTTTTTCACCACCCAGTTAGAGACCTCATATAGCTGGCTCAATATAGACCCCAATTGAGCTTTGAGACTAATCCTCAGAGAGTGGGGTGGGGAGGTGGAATGGTGTATCTCCTGAAGGGAGAGTCTCTGTGCCTCCCCTCTCTGTCCCCTGGGCAGACAGTGCTGCTGATGCTTTGTTAAAAGGAGAAAGGATTCTGCTGACACACGGTCTTTTTATGAAAGAAGGCTAAGGGTTCCCTTATCTCTCCACATAAGGCACATCTGCATGCAAACAGGCTGTCTGCTTCTTAGGGATTCCTTCATCCTTCCGTTTGCTTTCTGAATCTTTTAAGGCACAGTTTCACACATTCCTGTCTGTGCTCTAGAGCCAGGGGGAAAGTCATAATATATCAGGGCTCTTGCTGAGGAGCTTAAAATGGGCTCTGGCAGCTGGGATGTGAGAGAAGAGAGCTTTCCAGGGACGAGTGACCTGCTTGTTCAGCCAGTGAGAAACAGGTTAGAGGAATGGTATCACCAGACAGGCTTTATTGTCTGATCATCTCATAAAAGCAAGATTGTGTCTGGCAACTTAACCCATTTTTAGGTTCTTTGTGTCTCACCCACTCCCTGGTATGTGACCTCCAGATTCCTTTCTCAGTTGTCTACTGTGATACCACAGAAGTTAAAGATTTAAATGGGTGAAGAAATTTGGAGTGTTGTAAGTCGTCATTTTAAACATACATATTATTAAATTTTAGAACCACAGCTAAAATGGGAATGTCAACGAAGGTGTGTTTGGAGCGCACATCTAAAGCGGGTATCTGTCTTAGTCATGTTACATCAGATTGTTTCTATATAGGTTTGGGAGAGAAAGGAGGTTAAATGGGGAAAAAAATTTAGCCTGTAGTCTATTTTAATCTATATGATGGGTTCTTACGAGGCGCTTATTTCCTGTTTTGGAGGAATTAGAGTTGGTTCTGCATATTTGGCAAATATCACTGATTCAGAGGACAATTTTAAGAAACAGATATTTATAGTGTTTGTTTATATTGTACTTCTTTATTGTTCCCCTTGCTCCATAAAAATGGTAACCATTTTACTTCTTCATGTTTCCTTTTAGTCACTAGTAAAATGAGGGTGATGATTCTACCCTATACCTTAGAGGAGCTGAGATTAGAAAATAAAACTAATTCATGCGGTTTTAGATCGTGCTGCATACATGTATTATTATTGGGACATTCATGTCTTAAGCTTGTATGTTCATTCTCTTATTCAGCAGATATTTTTAAATACCTTATTGATGCTAGGCACACATACAGAGATAAAAAATGTGGTGCTTACTCTTAAGGAATTTAAAACGTTGTGAGGGAGACAGACAATAATAATAAAAGTCTCATACATCTATTGCATTTCTCATGTGTCAGGCCCTGTTCTAAGCACCTTGATATATATTATCTAATTTAATCTTACTAGAACCTTTATGAAATAGATATTGTGTTTAACTTAATGTTACAGATAAGAGAGAGGCTAAGTTACTTGCTTGCCTAAGGTCACACACTAGTGCTGGAATTGGGACTTGAATTTTTGGCTCTAGAATCTCTACTAGTATGCTCTAAATCTGTGCTGACTAATACAGTAGTCACTAGCCAGATATGGCTTTGGAGCACTCAAAATATGGCTAGTCCAAGTTGAATTGGGTTGTAAGTATGAAATACATCCTAGATTTCAAAGACCTAGTATGAAAAAAAATATTTGAATACCTCATGTTGAAATTGCATGTTGCAATGATAATATTTTGGATATACTGAGTTAAATTAAATATATTAAACTTAATTTCACTTTATTTTTGTGGTTACTAGAAAACTTAAAATTACATGCATGGCTTGCATTGTGGCTTACATTACATTTTTATTGGAATAACAGTAATAGTAGTAGGTGACATTCATTGAGCACTTACTGTGTGCCACATACTGTGCTAATACCTTTACAAACACTATTTCAATTAAGCCTCCAAATAGGAGGCTTCATTATCCCCATTTTATGGAAGGAGAAGAAGGTTTTGAGAAAATAAGTAATTTGGCAGAGGTCAGTCAACTAGTTAATGGCAGACCCCAAATTTGAAACCATTTGTCTGACTAAAAAACCCATACTCAACCAGCACACTGTAATACCATTTCCAATGATATCTCAGGGCATTTTCTTTGAGTTTGTTTTTCTAAGAATGTTTAATATTACATACTTCTGTATTTAGTGTGTAGAAGTTCAAAATAAAAATCACTAGGTCATTAAATAGACATCTCAGAAGGAAATCTCTTTTGCAGAGCCCCAGCCCTAAGTGAACACTGGCACAATTGAGCACTGAGATGAAGCAGTGAGTCAGCCTGTGCACATTGCATTTAATTTTCATTCCAGGCCACTGGGCAATTTATGTTCCGGCCCTCTTTATCCTTAGAGAAGAGGAAGAGGGGCAACGCGGCTCCCCCTAGTTGTTTCATTTTCTTGGCTGAGGAAAAAAATTGCTTTCCATTTCATTGTCCCATGAAATGCTGATTGTGTTCGAGAGAGCAACAAAATGCTGTTTAATGACCCGACTTTTCTTTTTTTCTAGAGCAAAGACTCAGGCGGATTAAAGGCGGCAATGATAGAATTGGTGGAAAGGTTAAAGTTCAAGAGCTCAGACCCTAAAGTAAGTATTGTTTGGAATTTATTGAATATTGGTACCCCAAGTATGGGTATCTCCCACTTTTTGGAAGTTCACTTTACGCTACTTTGCTTTTTATGAAAGACCTGCATGCATTAGTACCTGTTTGCACTAACTGAAAGAAATCTGGAGAGAATTTTCACTTTTATCGCTTTAATGAAGAAAAGTGAAAATAGCCTTCAGCCTTTGTTTTGCAAGGAGCTGTTAGAGGCAGCACAACCCTGAGGAGCAAGTGGCCCTGCCAAGGTCCTTCCTGAAGTTACACTCAGCATCTCAGTATCAGCCTCTATAGCTTTGACTGTGTCTGTGAGCATCTGTGTTTTATCTCCATCTATTTTGTGCATCCGTTAGCAAGATGTGTCCTAAGATATCAGAAAAGCCTCAGAGAGCTCCTAAGGGTGTTTCATTTAGCAGAAAACTGGTAATTAAGCATATTTAGCATGATTTGGTACGTGATATTTTGGGGTCTGGAAACCCTAAAAATATTTTCCATATAAATGAATGGTAAATGTGTCTTTGCTTTACACCATTTCAGCTTACAAAAGTTTCATAGGAATAGGGAAACCTGTGTTTCATTCTCTTTGAGCTAAGTTCGAGGGTTGTTAACAGTCATCTATCAGAACACTGCATCAAGCCCAGCCAGCATGGCTCAGGAGTTGAGCATCGACTTATGAACCCAGTCGGGCACATGTCCATGTTATAAGTTCGATCCCCAGTGTGGAGTGTGCAGGAGGCAGCCGGTCAATGATTCTCTCTCATCATTGATGTTTCTATCTCTCTCACCCTCTCCCTTTCTTTCTGAAATCAATAAAAATATATTTGAGAGAGAGAGAAAAAAGAACACTGCATCAAGATTTAATTAAGCCTGCCCATCAAAAGCAGTGTGCTAATATGCCTAGAGATAAGTCATCTATTTTCCCTTTCTATACTTTCTGGCTTACTAGTACAACACATAATCATTAATTGTTTTTCCTGAACTGCAGACAAGTGCATTTTTAATTTTCCTTTACCAGGCCTTTGAGACTATTGCCCTCTGTGTCCATTAAATTCAGCCAAAGGCATCTGAGATACTGATCAGCTTAATGCTGGGGACTGGAACAGGCTCCAGACCCATCCAGTTGGTGTTCAGCATTAGCATTTTGTCTCTCCCCAACTTACAGGAGCCAGCTGTCGTTGCGAATGCTTTTGTCCTCATGACCTGGAGTCTGGTCTGGGAAATGGTTTAAACTTCCCAGCTTTCTTTGCAAGATGCTGGGACTGTAGGATTGATATTCTGGGAGATGCCATACCAGGGTGGGGGTGAACTGGGAACTGAACATGCTGGAGGGATTATGACTAACACAGCCTCTCTTCTCCTGCCCAGATACTTACTGTAGCACATTACCTGATAGGGGTGCCAGCTGGCTCAGCCTGAGAGTCAGAGCCGCTCACAGTTCAATTGGGAAAGGAGCATGATTGTTTGACTTTTCACATCTCCTTTTCTTCTTTGATTTACAGTTATTTATAAGTGGAATAAGACTAGCATTTCTTGAACACATACTGAGTGAGAGCCAGGCACTGTGCTAGGAGCCTTACATATTTGTAAAAATAATAATGGTAAAATCTACATAATGAAATTTACCTTTTTTACTGTTTTTAAGTATACAGTTCAGTGGCATTAAGTGCTTTCACACTGTTGTGTGACTATCACTACCATCCATCTCCAGAACTCTATTATCTCAGACTGAAACTGTGCCCCTTAAACACTAACTCCTTATTCCACCTCCCCTCTTGCATACTTGTGATTACTTTAGCAACTCTATAAAGTAGTTTATTATTCCCATATTATTGAGAAGGACACGGAGGTTCAGACAAGTGGGGTCATTTGCCCCAAATCTAGTATAATTTAGAGCTGGATTCGAACTCTGACTCCAGGCCTGTGCTCTATCTTTTATATTATGCTGCAGACTAAGCCTTCATCTCCTTGCTACCATCTGTTCACGTGTGCCTCTGTTTCCTACTCTGAAATACTATATGAAGCAGAGCCACAGAAAATGTGACAGTCTCTTCAAAAGTTGGCCGCAGTCATCAATCACCCGATCATTTTCTCTTTATACAGCATTGAAAGTATCGGGACATTAGTAATTCTTTTTTGTCTTCTGGTGTGGTTAGGGTTCCAGGGATAACATTTATTAATTGTCTTAGGTCATTGTAAAAAAGATCCCTGGTGTAAGTAGTTTTCCTTTAGTGAAGATGAATAAATTAATTATTAAAGACTACTGAAAGCTGCTTTTTTTAAGCAAGTTTCTCTGGTTTCTGGGACAACAGCTCTACTGTATGTTTTGTTTCTGCCACATCCACATGCTTTTAGGCAGTGAAGATGGAGAGGATATGTACAGTTACACTGAGTGGCTTCTGTACGTGATGATGAATACAGGTAAAGTGCTTTGCGATCCTCTATGAATATGCATAATACTTCTGGTGGGAAACTTGCCAGAGGTGAAAGAATTGAGTGGTCCCATGAGAGCAACCATGGAAGCTTCAGGATTTTCCCATGATGCACCATAAGCTGAAGGGTATTTGTTAGGATCTCCCTTGATTGTGGATACGTTTATACACACTCGCCTCTCTTTTACCTTCTTTATCTGGCCATGGATTATTTTCCACCAACCAGTTTTATTTTTAAGCCTCTTCTTAGTCTGTCATATGCATATGCTGTATCTACCTGGAGCCAGCTTGAAGAAGGACTACGTTAGTCTGCAGCGTGATATAATGATGGAATGACTGCCAGATCACAACGTGGGGGGTGGTGAAAAGTGAGGCACTTAAAACAGAATTTCTGCAACAAAGACAATTTCCCAGCAATAAACTGGTGTCTTCCAAGCAAACCCTTAGGTTTTGAGCCTGTTCTGTTTTCCCTCGGAGCCCCACCATCCCTTTTTAGAAGTTGGCCTGTTTAAGAAAGGCAGCATCTCTCAGGCTTTCTGACCTGTCATTTCCTGGTACAGCAGCTTTCCCTAGAAGCACTGATTGAGTCATGGAGCACTGAGCCCTCTCTCTACCCCACTTCCTCTGGAATTCCCTAAGCAGCACAGAGCTTGATTAGTCCAGACACTGAAGTCCCCTGGGACTGAGTTAACTTTTATCTGCAAATGTTGCCAGAGAGGAGTGAAGGATGCCTAGATTAACCGTCTTTTAAAATTTAAAAATAGTATATACTTACAGATTAAAAACACAGATATCCATAAAGAAAAAGGAAAATGAATTTCCCCTGAGTTAACCACTTCAACAGTTTATTGCATAACCTACTAGACATTTCCATGTGGAAAAACACTTCTAACCTTTTTTAAAATTACACTTTACCTGTAGTTTTATTATACAGAATATCTTAGACATTCTTCTTTGTCAATAATATAGACTTAATGAGATACCCCCTCTTTGCTTTTGGAGTAGTAGTTCTTCAACTTTAGTGTGCATGAACTCACCCCCCGGAGGACTTACTAAACTCAAACCCAGAGTGTCTGATTCAGTAGGCCTGAGTGACTGGAGACAGCTGGAACTTTGGCTATGTTCCTACTCTCTTATTTTGATTTGTTTCATTTTTTTTTTCACAAACAGCTGAAGACCCTTCATAAATAAGTTCAGTGATTTCAACTTTAAAAAAAAATGAAATACATAAAATCCAGGCTTAAAAAACAAATAAATTGAGCCGATGTGGCAAAGGAGTAGGGGATGGGGAGGGTAGGTGGACTGAAGAGTCAGCTCAGGATGCATGCGAGGACAGCATCCCTTTAAACAGTCATGCCCAGCAGAGAAACAGCAAAGCCAAAAAGAGGGAAAGGAGTTCTGGGCAGGATTTAAGAGGATGATCAAGGCCCAAGCCATGGTCCTGGAGTGGGCTGACTTACAAACCAGGGGAACAGCAGGAGACATCAAGTCCCTGACACTCGGGGTGAACCTGAGGAAAGGAATCAGGGCCAGTGATGGCTGGTAAATAAGGCACAGGACAGAGGAAGTTGTGTGCATGCATGTGGCTATGGCAAGCCTCGTTTCAAAGGGAGCATTCCTCCAGAAATCTAGGACTTTGTATGCAGTGGAAGGAGATTGTTTTTAATGACAATCAGTGTTAGTTTAATTGGAAGTGGTCTTTTCAAAAATAAGGCATCCTAACGTGTTTGACAGGGTCCAGTTTGCAAACGCCCTTTCAGCCAAACGTTCAGAAACATTTATTGCACAAAACAGGATTTTGTCTGTAGATTTCTTATAATTATGATAGATTTTAGGGAAATTAAAAGATATAATTAATCAGGGTGTGTGTGTGTGTGTGTGTGTGTGTGTGTGTGTGTGTGTGTGTGTGTGTGTGTGTCTGTCTGGATTTTTAAGGAAACCGAAGCTTGGAAAACACAGTGATTCCCTTCCTTCTCTCGGCCCAGTCTCTCAGAAAGCACTGAACCAAAAGCATAACATGTTAAACTCATTCAAACTAACCTCCTATTATATAGTCAATAACAGCCACTTTCTCTATTATATACTGGTTGTTTTTCTTTCCATCTAAGATATGCTGTTCGTTGTTTCCTAGAGCTAGCATGCTTGAAACAAACAGTTAAAAACACAGTTATGTATCTCAAATTCATACTAATCTTATTAGAAGTTATCCTTTTAAAAAGTGTCTTCAGCCTGGCTGGTGTTGCTCAGTGGTTGAACATTGATCTATGAGCCAGAAGGTCACGATTTGATTCCTGGTCAGGGCACATGCCTGGGTTGGAGGCTCAATCCCCTGAATGGGGCATGCAGGAGGCAGCTGATCAATGATTCTCTCTCATTATTGATGTTTCTATCTCTCTCTTCCTCTCCCTTCCTCTCTGCTATCAATAAAAATATATTTGGAAGAAAACCTGAACCAAGTGGTTCACATTATTTTGTCTCACTGGAGTGGTATTAAACATGGAATGTGGTTATACCAAGACTGCCTAAAATATATCAGGTTTTTTTCCTTCTTATTTTCT